GGCCCCTGGCCCGGACAGGCAGGGGGCTTGGGAAGTTGCGGGGCCCAGCCTGGACTGCGCCGCGCACGCCCGGGGAGATGATGGGTAGCTGCCCCTAGGACATGGAGCCTGCCCGCCTGCCTCTCCTCTCCCCTCCCCATTTCCCCCCACAGCAAGGGGAGGGGGATCAGTTCCCAGACACACGCCCAGGACCCGTGGCCACCCCTCCCGTGCCTACAGCCGGGGCAAAGGGCAGCCAAACTGTTTGTGCTCCTGGCAGGGAGGGTGCTGCCCCCAGAACCGCAGCGCCCGAGGGGTTAACCGAGGCCTTCGCCCACGCCCAGCCAGAACAGGGCCTCCCTTCAGCGCGCTCCCCAGCCTGGAGACGCCTCGGGCCTGTTCTCCCTCCCTTCTCCCACCCACGCCCGGGGCTGCATCCCGGGACAGGGACTGCAGGGCCAGGCCCACAGCCCGAGGTGGGCAGAGGGCAGGAGGAGGGAGGCAAAGGGTTAATGCTCCCGGGGACTAGCCCCTGCTGCGTCACGTGGGGTCTAGCGGGTCTCTGCAAAACCTTCGCTCCCCCAAGGGGTGAGATCCGCTCCCAGGCCGGGGCCTGCTGGAGCCATCCAGCGAGAGGCATTCGGGGCCTCTCGGGGAAGGTCCCGCTGGCCACGGAGGTGGGGTTCAGGGTCTGCGGATGGACAGGGAGCCAGGAGGCAGCTGCCCCGCCAGGTCCCCGTAGGGAGCTCAGCTAGCGGGTCTCTGCAAAACCTTCGCTCCCCCAAGGGGTGAGATCCGCTCCCAGGCCGGGGCCTGCTGGAGCCATCCAGCGAGAGGCATTCGGGGCCTCTCGGGGAAGGTCCCGCTGGCCACGGAGGTGGGGTTCAGGGTCTGCGGATGGACAGGGAGCCAGGAGGCAGCTGCCCCGCCAGGTCCCCGTAGGGAGCTCAGGCAGGACCTATCCAGGGTGCAGGGGACCTGGCCGAGAGTCTCTGGCTAGCCCCGGGGCCGGGATCAGTCCCTCTGTCTCCTAGGCCCCCTCCCTGGATTAGGGGTGTAGCTCTCCAGTGGGGTTCCGGCCCCAGCCTCAGGCCCTGGGAGCCCCCCCGGCTCTGCTGCCCCATTCGCACTGGGAGCGGAGGGGCAGGTGCGTCCTGTTTACCCCTGGGCCTGAGCCGGGCTCTCTGGGGCTGCTCCCCGCTGGCCCAGCAGGCCCGGCCCCAGTTCCAGCCAGGGGCAGCTTCCCCTGCTCTGCAAAGCTCCTGGTCCATGGGCCTGATCCTGCAAGGTGCCGGGAGCCGAGGGAACTCCGGCTCGTGCGGGATGCGGCCTGGGTGCGCGTCCGGAGCCCTACCCTGGACGGACGCAGGCGAGGGGCGCTCCCCCAGTGCCCCTCGGGGATCTCCGCCTTGGGGGGCAGCCCGGGGGGCAGCCCGGAGGCACCAGGGTCACTTCTCCCAGCCCAGCAGGGAGCCAGGACCCCAGGGGGAGCCGGGCAGGAGCCAGAGGCCTCGCGAGGCAGTGGGAGGGAATTAAGGGAGGGATTTTTGCCGGGCGGCTGGGAGCAGCGCGGGGAAAGGCTGCTGGACTCCAGGAGGTCGGGTTCCTGGCTGAGCGAACCGGGGCGGGGAGGAGGAACCGAACCCGCCGGGAGGGAAGAGGGACCAGCCCCCTTGCTCCCAGGGGGGCTGCAGCGTGGGGCCTGCTGCGGGTTGCCATGGAGACAGGTTGCTTTTTATCCTAGCTCCCCTCGCTTCCCGGCAGCGGGTTTCCAGGCAGGGGCTGCGGCTGGGGGGGCCCCGGTGCCGGGGGGGACACAGGTAAGAGGATGCTCCATGCCAGGAGGGTGGCAAGGGGGCGGCCTTGGACCGGGGGAGGTGAGGGGGGGCGGAGGGGAGGAGAAATCGTGCCCAGGCGCTGGGCCAGGCTGACTGGCGAG